AGGCAGGGACTTTAGCCACTAGGCTACTGCGCCAGACCTAGGTTTATAATTTTAAATACAATTACATGTTATTGTAACCACCACTATTATTAACATCATAAAAAAAATCCTCCCTTGTATTGTTTTTCAAAATTATTTAAACTTTAAAAAGTTTAATTTTTATAGCATATTTAATTTGTAAATACAACTTTAAAGACATAATGATATTCTGTCCCTCCTTCCGTCTCTATTCCTTCCTTCTTTGCTAAGTTTTTGAGTTAATACATTTAAAATTTACATTACAATAGAAAGGCTTAATATTTCAGTGAATAAGAAGGTTAACAGGGTCCTGGCATGATAACTTCTTGGCTAAATTCCTTACCTTTTGCACCGGGATCCCATATGGGCATCAATTCTAATCCCAGCAGCCCCACTTCCTGTCAAGCTTCCTGCTTGTGGCTTGAGAATGCAGCGGAGGACGGGCCAAAGCCTTGGGACCCTGCACTCTCGTGGGGGACCTGGCTCCTGGCTTTGGATCGGCTCAGCTCTGGTCATTCCAGCTACTTGGGGAGTGAACCAGCAGATGGAAGATCTTTCTCTCTCTTTTCCCCCTCTCTGTAAACCTGAGTTTCCAATAAAAATAAATAAATCTTTAAAAAAAAGAGAGTTAACTGGTAAAAAGCAAAAAGACCTTAATTCAGAGGGAATTTAGATGGTGGCTATAAACAGCTGAATGGAAAAGTGATCATTTCATCCATATGCAGTATATTTTAAAGTAATGACAGATTGATAAAATCATGTAGTATAATGTTCATTTTTTTAAGAACAAAAATACCCCTGCTCTTTCTCAGGATTACAGACAAAGGCTGTAAACAATAATCAAATCTCAAAATGTCCATTTTGCACTTTATAGATTACATTTTTTTTCTGGTGTACTAGTTATCACATATCAGGGAGAACATATGGTATATTTTGGGGAAATGGCTTATTTCACTAAGCATAATATTTTCTAATTGTATCTATTTTATTGCAAAAGATAAGATTTTTATTCTTTTTAATGCCTGAGTAGTATAGTATATATAGTTTTTATCTAGTCATATGTTGATAGGCATCTGGGTTCATTCCATATCTTAGCTATTATAAATGAGGTACAATAAATAAGGGAGTGCACATAGCTCCAGTAGCCAGTTACGTTCCCAGGAATGGAGTGGTGGGGTCATATGGTAGATCTGTTTTCAGATCCCTGAGGGATTTCCACGGTCTTCCGTAATGGTTGTGTTAGTTTTCATAACAGTGTTAGGATACCTTTTTCTCCACATCGTCTCCAGCATTTATTGCTTTTAGAGTTTTTGGATGATAGCCATTCTAACTGAGGGAAGGTGAAACCTTGCTGTGGTTTTTATTTGCGTTTCGCTGGTGGCTAGTGATCCTGAGCCCTGAGCATTTTTTTTCCAGTGTTTCTTGGCCACTTGTTTTTCATCCTTTGAAAATTGCACTTTTATGTCCTTTGTGCATTTTTAGCTGGGTTGTTTTGTGTGTTGAGTTTCTTAGAATTTAATCATTTATGAGTTGCATAATTGGCAGATATTCTTTGCTATCCTGTTGGTTGCTCTTCACTTTGTTGTCAGTTTCCTTTGCAGTACAGTAGCAGCCTCTTAGCTTGATGTAATCCCGTTTGTTTGTTTGCTTTAATTGCTTGCCCTTCTGGGGTCTTTTCCAAGAAGTCTTTGTCTATATCTCTGTCTTGCACTTTCTCTGGATTTTTTTTCTAACACTTTGATGGTGTAAGGCTGTAGATTTACATCATTGACTCATTTAGAGTTGATTTTGTACAAGGACTAAGGTGATGAAAGTTTTATTTCAAACTCCTGCACGTGTAGATCCAGTTTTCCCAGCCACATTTGTTGAAGAGACTGTCCTTTCTGCCTGGATCGATTGCAGCTTGCTTTTCAAGTATTAGTTGTCCGTACACATGTGGATTAATTTCTGGGATTTCTGTTCTGTTCCCTTGATCCTCATGTGTGTTTTTGTGCCAGTCGCTGGCTGTTTAGATTACAGCTGCCCTGAAGCATGTCTTGAAGTCTGGCGTTGTAATGACACCAGCTTTGTTTCTGTTGTTTAAGGCTGCTTTAGCTGTTTGGGGTCTCTTGTGTTTCTATATGTGATTTAGCATCTTTTGTTTCTAGCTCTGAAAAGAATGCTACAGATATTTTGATTGAGATGGCATTGAATCTATAAATTGTTTTCAGTAATTTGAACATTTTGCTGATCTTAATTTTACCAGAAATCTATAAGCTTAGCAGGTTTTTTCATGTTTTTGTGTCTTCCCTTGTTTCTTTCTTTAATGTTTGTAATTGTAATTTTCATTGACATCTCTCACATCCTTGGTTGCATTTATTTCAAGATATTTAAAATATTTTGCCATTGTTATGAAAGAGATTGATGTTCTTTCTCAGCCATGGAATTGTTTGTGTATGTAAAGGCTATTGATATTTGTGTTGACTTTATGTTCTGCAGCTGTATCAAACTCTCCTATGAGTTTCAGTAGTCTCTTACTGTAGTGTTTTTTGCTCCTCTATACAGAGAATAATATCTTCTGTGTATTCTTTTGTTTTCTTTTTCTTGCCTAATGACCGTGGTTAAAACTTCCCGGAATATGTTAAATAGCTATGGCTAGAATGGGCATTTTGACTGGTTCCAGATTCTAGTGGAAATACCTCCAGTTCTTTGTTGGCTTTGTTATATATTGATGTATTGCCTTGATTGTGTTGAGGAATGTTCCGTCTATCCTCAATTTGATTTTTTTTTTGACCTGTGTTTTAAAATCTGTTTAGCTGGTCTGTATCTTTTGATAGTTTAGGCCATATGCATTCTGAATTATTTTGAACGATAATGATTTGGTCCTATCAGTTTTACATACGTATTTTCATTGTTTACTTCTCACCTTTACTAGGTTTTCTACCTTCGTATTTCTTCATTAATGTTTCTATTTCCATGTGTAGTACATCTTTAAGCATCATTTGTAAGTTGTATGTCTGGTATCGAATTCCTTTAATTTCTGTTTGGAAGGTGTTCATTTATAATGAGAGCTTCTGGGTTGGCCGTTACTTCTTTTTATGACCCAGACTATTTCTTATTTTTTTATAATTAGTTCATGCTTCTACTCATAACTCTTGGTTACCATTGATTTACTCAACAACTATATATTTTGTTTTTAATATGTCATGTAAGTGTAAACCTTTTCAGATTTTTTTTAAAGATTTGCAATAATTTATTTGAAAGGCAAAGTGATAGAGCAATACGGAGAATGAGGTCATTGTTTCAGTGGTTTATCCCCCGATTGGCCACAGTGGCCATGACCAGACCAGGCTGAAGCCAAAATCCCAGAATTCCATCCAGGTCTCACATTTGTGTGACAGGTACTGAAGTACCTATACCATCATCTGGTGGTTTTCTAATTATGTTCATAGGAAGATGGGTTGGAAGTGGAGCAGCCGGGACTCCAACTGGTGCCCTGATATGGAATGCTGACATTGTGAACTGTGGCTTAACTAGCTGTGCCATAATTCTGGCCCCAGGTTCATTCCCATAATAATACCTTTGTGAATCATACAAATTATGTGCTTGAATAAGTCACTTATTCCTATTGTTAAGTGCTATTGCATAGGATGCATATGAACCATTTATTTATTTACATGTTGGAGATATCTGGTTCATTTTTAGTTTCTACCTTTAATGAATAAAGCTGCTATGAATATGTGTTTGTAGGCACTTTCTCTCCAGTTTTAAAATTGTGGGAAAATATGAATAACATCTGGTATCTTAACTATTTTAAAGTATATAGTTCAATGTTATTGACACATTCAGAGTATCATACAACCATCTATTTTTTGTAACTTTTCAGTTTAAGAAAGCTGAAACTCTAAACCTGTTAAAACTGTTAGGTTTGCCTTCAGTCCCTTGCTGCTACCAGTTTATTGTCTGTGTTTGTGATTTTATTACTTTTTTAAAACACCACATTGAATTGCAGTCATGTAGTATTAGTTTCTTTGTGATTAGCTCGTATGTATTTGTAGGTTTTTGTGTGAAGATAAATGTCCCTGAGATAAATGCCCTGGAGCTCAATTGCTGTTATTCTATGATAACTGCACATTTAGTTTTTAAAGAAACCACCAACATATTTTAGAGTGACAATACCAATATTAAGTTTTCAATGCTGCAGAATTTGAATTGAACTTTTGAAGAAGTCTCTCTGGTTATTGTTGATTTAGGGTGTTAAGTCTCAGTCATTGGCTGATATGAAAAAGCAATGGTTAATAGTAAGTGATGTTGTATTCATTCCTGTGAGTTGCAGTGCTGTGAACAGAAGACTGAGCTGTGTCTCAGCAGAACAGGTCTGGGTAGGAAGTCCAGTATGTGTCCATCGTGCAGTGGTTCCCAAACCTGAGTATATACCAGAATCATATGCAAATTTCTTTATAATACAGATTCCTGTTTATCATCTGTATTTTATACTAGGGCTGAAGAAAAGTTTATGTAGACATTACTACATCATTTGGGAACTGTTGTAAGATCTATAGTATTTCTAACACACGTTCTGTACAAATAACAAATGAAGAACTTCCCCTTTTGTCATTTTGCCTTTTTCTTTGGTGCTGTGTTTATGTTTTTACCCTTTGGTGATACTAGTTTTTAATGTTTTCATTTTTTCCATGTGTGTTGACTGATACTGCTTTGCATTCTCGTTAGACATGAAGATGTAATGTTGCCTCTAGGTTTCCTCTCCTTCACCATATAAAGTATTGCTCTTCAGCATCTAGAATTCATTTTCGTTCTCATACCAAGTTATATTTAACTTACTGTTTGAACAGATCTCAGGCTCACTGACAATTCTTACCTTTTAATTAAAGACAGAAGTAGAAGACAGCTATTAGGGGTGGTAGAAGTACGTTTAACTTTTAGTTGAAGTTCTCTCTATAGTATGTCACTCTTACCAGCCTTTTTTTCTGCTTCTCTCACAGGGAAGAAGAAGAACGTCTGAGAAATAAAATTCGAGCTGATCATGAGAAGGCTCTAGAAGAAGCAAAAGAAAAATTGAGAAAATCAAAGGAGGAAATCCAGGCAGAAATTGAGACGGAGAAAAATAAAGTAGCCCAAGAAAAGAAGATGAAAGAAAACAAGTCACTGCCACCTGTGCCCCTTGTAAACATTGTAGGGATCAATGGGGGAGACCCAGAAGATGATGACATAAAGCAGAAAAGGGAAAAAATTAAAGAGGTAATCTCCTGAGGCTTGTCATATAGGGGAGTTGTGGAAATGTATCTGACATATGTAAGCATATTTATACCATCAATGGTATTATATATATATTATATATTATATATATTATATTATATATTATATATATATGTATGTATGTATGTATTTTGGTTCTTTGAGCTAAAATTTTCACTGACTGAAATTCCTGATAAATTTGGGTGGATTTTGCAGTTGTTCTCCATGAAAACAGAAGCATTAGAGAATAACATCAACAATACTTCAAAATGCTATTTATTGTAAAGTAAGCTTATAAGTTGTTTAGGCAGCCAAGTATTTATTTTGATATATCCTAATAACGGATGTGGAAAGTTAAGCAATATTTCTCAATTTGTCTTACTAGTGATAAAACATTGAACTTAGTGGCATCAAAATAAAACCGCTATCTAATTGTACCTTCCCACCACAGTGTCTGTTTAATGTTGGACTGCTAATGCGGTTTCTTTGGACAGTGAGGGGAGAGACATTCATAGAGCTTTTTTCCCCAGGCACCTCATCTTTTTTTCTGATACCATTATAGTTTATTGAAATATTTTCTGGAGTTTAGGGGACCTCACGATGACTTTGAGGTGCAGTGACTCATCATTAGAAGTATTCACACTCAACACTTAGAAATACATTGGAAATACTTAAATGTTTAGGAACTAAACATTTGTTTAGTTCTAGTAGTTTGTTAATTCTAATAGCCATTTGTTAATTCTAGTAGGTTTTTTTATAGATTGCTTAGGATTTTTTCTTCTGTTTGGTCATTTCCTCTGTGAGTAGAATTATTTTTGCTTTTCCCGTCTATGATTTTTATGTTTTAGTTCTTTTTTTTGTCTTACTGCACTGAGTAGGACATATAATACATTGCCTTTTTTTTAAGATTTATTTATTTATTGGAAAGTCAGATATACAGAGAGGAAGAGAGACAGAGGAAGATCTTCCCTCTGATGATTCACTCCCCAAGTGAGCGCAATGGCCAGAGCTGAGCCAATCTGAAGCCAGGAACCAGGAACTTCCTCCAGGTCTCCCACACGGGTGCAGGATCCCAAGGCCTTGGGCCGTTCTTGACTGCTTTCCCAGGCCACAAGCAGGAAGCTGGATGGGAAGTGGGGCTGCTGAGATTAGAACCAGTGCCTTCATGGGATCGCAGCGCATTCAAAGTGAGGACTTCAGCCACTAGGCCACTGCGCTGGGCCCCAACATACAATACATTGTTGAAAAGAAATAAAGTAGCCATATTTGATTTGTTCCTGACTTTAGACGTTAAAGTCTTATACCACGAATTATGAAGTGTAAGCTGGTTTTCTTTGTTGTTTTGTTTTGTTTTTAAGATAGCCCGTACATTGAGTATATTTCCTTCCTGTAGTGTATAAAGAGGTTTTTTTTTATAATGACTATGTCTTGAATTTCAACAAATATTCTGTCTACATTTTTGTCTAGATTATTAAGTGATTTCTCCCATCTCTTTCATTCTTTTAACGTAGTGAATTATATAAGTTGGCTTTTGAATTTTAAATTACTATTATATTACTGGCTTAAGCTACATTAGATTGTGTTTTAGTATCATCCTTGCATATTTCTAGTATTTTTTAAGGAATTTTGTATTTGTTTTTCAGAGATATTTTCTTTTGGTATTTGAGTAGTGCTGACAGATCTTCTCAAAAATAAACTTGTAGGTAGTTAACGTATCTTCCTGCTCTTTTTCTCTTTTTAATTATATAAAGTGGACAAATTTCATAGTGCAGTGCAGATTTCAGAGCTTAGTGATACTTTCTACCTTATCCTCCCTCCTGCTTGTGTTCTCTGCCCACCTTCCACCTTCTCCTTTCTAGTGTTTAAAATAGCACACTTTGATTCCATTTCCCAACCACAGGTTGAACATTCCATTTGATAAAGATATCAACACATGGCTTCCGTCTTTAAAGGAACATGTCATGATACCCATCAACCATGCTGTGGATTCAGACTATATTCCTTCCTAGCTGAATAAAACAAGTTGTGAAATGTTTCCATGAATAATATGCTATTTAATCCACTGGGTTTTGACCTGTCATAGTCTACTATAATTTAGCTGATATATAATTAAATACTCACAGATAGGTTAGGACTCTTTGGTTGGAAGAGACTTAGCTTAAACTAATGGATTTAAAAATATTTATTAGGTTAATGGCTGTATAGTAGAACTTCAGGCTTGTCTGAATATATGCCTTTGGATATCCTTGTCAGTAATTGCATCCACCTCTTTTTGCTGGTATTTATTTTTTCCATGTTGGAAGAGCGTGAGCCCTTATCAGTTCCAGGAGTATATAATACATAATCATAAGATAGCAAAATGGGAATCTTTCTGTTTCCCAGTGCTTATAACTGTATGCTTAAAGTGGACTTAATTCTTATACTCAAGTCATGCTCAAGTAGGCATATGTAGTTGTTTGCCTACAACAGGACTCGGCAAAATATGGCTTATGGCTAAATTCTTCCAGGTGTCTGTCTTTTTTTTTTTTTAAGTAAACTTTTTTTTGAACAGAGGTGTTCATTTCTTTACACATTGTAAGGATACTTCAGAAACTTTGTGTAAAACTGGAATTAAGAGAAAAGTTTATTTTGGTGCAATTTTTTGTTTTTTTGAAATCCAGGCCTAGTGTTTTCATAATAGATATTTTTCATGATCATTTTGGAGATTCCTCCTGGGCATGGGTTTCAGAATTTTTTTGGTACCCGAAAAACCTCATTGTTTAATAAATTTTCCTTCATCTTTTTGAAATACTTGAAACAATTGTTTGTTTTTTTTTTTTTCTTGCTTCACTTCCCAAATGGCTGCAACTGCCTGCTCTGGACTAGGACAAAGTCAGGAGCCAGGAGTTTCCGTCTAGCTTTTCCAAGCATGGGCTGTGCTTTGTTGGCTTAGCAGGAAGCTGATTGGGAAGCAGAGCAACTGGGGCTTCAACTGGGTATCAGCTTAACCCATTGAGTGGAAACGTCTCTCCCTAAAGTACCTTTATTTCTTGAACTGGTGGAAAAAGCGTCTTTGGTTGACAGTTTTTTTTTTTTTTTATATATATAATGCTGATAAGGGAGCTGTTCTGAAAGAATTGACAGGTTTTAAAAGGAAAGAGTGTTAGACACTGTATGTTTTGAGAAAGGCAATTTGTTAGATCTGATTTTGTTCAGCTGTATAGATTGAGATTAAACAGCTATATGTATTTTCACATTGATAATTGAATAATACCAAAGCAGTAGGCTAATATACTAAGGCAAGATTTCCAGGAAAACAGATAAGGGTGTAATCGTAGAAGCTTAAATTATGTGAAATGCAAAAATATCATTCTATGATTAATTTAAATTGATGGATTATAATTTTTCTCCTTGTAGATGATGAAACATGCCTGGGATAACTACAAGGCATATGGATGGGGACACAATGAGCTCAGACCTATTGCAAGAAAAGGACATTCCACTAACATATTTGGTAAGTTTACTGGTCATTACTGTTTTGGATTCTGTCTCCATGTTTTAAAGCAAGAGCTAAACCTTTTTTTTTTTAAATTTTGTTTATTTTTAATTGGAAGTCAGGTTTACAGAGAGGGGGAAAAACAGAAAGATCTTCCATCTGCTGGTTCACTCCACATGTGGCTGGAGTGACCAAAGCTGAGATGATCTGAAACCAGGAGCCTGGAACTTCCTCTGGATTTCCCACGGGGGTGCAGGGTCCCAAAGCTTAAGGTCATTTTCTTTTGCTTTGCTAGGCTGCAGGCAGGGAGTTGGAAAGGAAGTGGTACAGCTGGGTTATGAACTGTCACCCATTTGGGATCAATGTGAATGCAAGGCAAGGACTTTAGCCACTAGGCCACTGCACCTGGCCCGAGACCTAGCTGTTTAAAGTATTTTTTAAAAATGAGAAACTGTAATTTTACATTTTTTTTTTTTTTTTAATTTCAAGATTTAGTTCCAGTTGTTCTGAAATACACAGATAGGTAATGGATTTTCTATTTATGTATTTAGTCATTTATCTGAGTATTTTGAAGCTTCTTTTTCTTCCAAATCAGGTAAAGGTATTCGTAGCTACTGGGATTCTTCAAAAAGTTCATGTAAGGTGGGATCAAAAGTTATGTTTATTTTGGCACCAAAACTTTTAAAGTCCATGCATAATAATTTTTTATCAAAGACATTTCCATGGAATTTTTGAAGACTTTCTTATACTTGTAACTGTTTTTCTTCCATACAGTGATAGTTCTGATACATTATTATTAGAGGAGGGAAAAGAGGAAATTCCAGTAGAGCTATGTGCATTAAGACAGAAATATAACATAGCTAGAGTTATTTGGTTGATAAGTTGAATGGGACATATATGTTGACAGTGCCTAAGGAAAATTAACAGTGTTTGTGTGTGTGAGTGGAAGTTTGGAAAGAGCTGTGATGTTTTTGAGTTCATTCAAAGAGACACATAGAGAGAATTAGCATTCCACCCACTGTATCACTCCCTTAATGGCTCTAATGGGTGGAGCTGGGTGAGCATGCAGCCACTATCCTGGAACTCCATTTGGGCTTCCCATGTCCATTCTGGATCTCAATGTTTGAGCCATCTTCTACAGCTTTTCCAGTTGTATTAGCAGGGAGTTAGATTGGAAGTTGAGCAGCAAGGACTGTAACTGCACTAAACCTGTTGTTCCTATGCATTGCTGGCACTGAAAGCCTTGGGATTTAACTTGCAGAGCCACAATGCTGGCCCCAAGCTATTCTTTACATGGGCTTCATTGCTTCCTCTCATGTTAAATGTTTTGTGATGTGAGCCTTTCAACTTATATAGGTGAAAGACAGAACCTTTTAATGGTTAAGAAGACAGATTCTAGTGATATGCAAAACGAATTAAAAAAAATCAACGTACATTACAGTAATGCAAATACAAGCAATTTTCCTTGATTGTGACACTAAAGCTTTGATTTGCTTTGGAATTTGATGTTGCTTTTTGTCAAAAAAAGAAAATATCTTAAAAAAAAATTCCTGATGGCTTGGAAGGATGCAGTGGTAGAGGGATAAATTAGTTTTATTTAGATGATCACAGACTATGAAAGTTCTCTTAATAAAACATTTAATTTAGCAGCTATTACTTAATGAGATCAATTCTATTTCCTCAGTGCAAAATATAGTTTACAACTTCTCATTGCTTTTTGGATGTCACAATATGACATATTACTATATAAGTTAATTAGAATTAGATATTTCCTTCAAGAAACTGTCCCTTTATGTTAAACTTAGTGGTGAACTGTGAGCCTCTTACAAAGGACGGGAGAAGCAGATGGAGTAGGCATCTTGCACAGTGATTAAGTTGCTTCTTGAGATGTCTGCATCCTGTATTGGAGTGCCTCGTTTGAGCCTTGGCTCCTCTGAAGAGTAGAAGATGATGACTCGAGTTGTTGCATCCCTGCCACTCAAGCAGGAGATCTGAACGGATTTCCAGGTTTCTGGCTTCAGCCTTCTAATCATGAACAGTTGCGGAGTGAGCCAGCTGGTGGAAGGTCTCTGTCATTTTCCTTTTTTTTTTTTTTTCAAAAAGAAAGAAACGGACGTTAGTTTTTTTACTTATTTTCAAATCAAATCATGTCATTCAGAGCTTCTGGCATATTAAAAATTTATCAAATAGATACTGGTCTTGATACTGCCTTAATAAATTTTAAAGGTGGAAGAAAATTCGGTTCATGGGAAGCATCATTTGTAAAAAGGAAATTATAGTGAGGTGGAAAAAGCAATGTGCAATCTGCAAGATTTTCAGTAGTGAAAAAAGCTTGAAAAGCTTATGTCTTCAGTTAAATTTTTCTACTGGCTGTGGGTTTTCCTAGTCAAGTAAGCTATGCATGTATACATTCCTTATTACAGTTTGTTACATTTGTGTAGCTGTTATTATTTCATTTATATAATGTGAACGAAGTTCATGTATCTTGTAATACAGATTTAGGAGGTTAGTAACACTTCCCACTCCATCCTTTCTCATGCCCAAATTCTCCGTCCATCTTCCTCTGTCCTTGTCTTCTCCTTCTTACTCCCTAATTTTTAAATGTCATGCTTTTGCTTCACCTCACAATAACAGGATTAACCTACCAATAGCTAAAGATATCACACAAAACAAGTAGAAAAAAAAAGCCACAAAATCTAATTCTCAGGAATATAGACAAAGGCTGTAAACAAAAGTCCCAAGGAGTCAGTCTCACTCATGAAGATAATTTTTTTGTACATTGTATTTTAGTTATCACAGACTAGGGAAAGCATGTGATATTTGTCTGTTTGGGGCTGGTTTATTTTACTGAGCATAATGGTTTCCATTTAGTTGCAGAAGACAAGATTTCTTTCTTTCTTTGTTGCAGAATATACCACAATTTCTTTATCTAGTCATCTGTTGATGGGCATCTAGGTTGATTCTGTATTATAAATACTGTGAACTGAGCTGTGGTAAACACAGGGACACAGATAACTCTCTCATATGATGTTTTTGTTTCATTTGGATGAATTCCCAGAAATGGGAAGACTATTATATGATTGATCTATTTTCAGATCTCCGAGGAATCTTCATACTATCTTCCATACTCATGCACAAGTTTAAAATTCTTATCAGAGAATGACATGCCCAGATGTGGAGACATAGCGCAGTATATCTTTCTGTGTCCAGACCAAAGATGGACTTTCAGTGAAACAGTTGAAAACATCCTGATGGTAGAATGCTGGACTCTCCAACATTGTCCATACCTACAGTGTTGGGAAACAGTTCAATAGCTGAATGATGGACTTATGACTGTTCAGGAAGGACTGCCGATTGTAATACTAGAGAGGAAATCAATAGGGGGAAAGGGACTTGAGAAGGAGGATGGGAAACCCCATACATAGCCTGTGGAACTGTATCATAAAACAATAATAAATAATAATCTAAAAATTAATATTAGCACTGGATTAGAATGCCTTTTTCCACATTCTTGCCAGCATTTATTATTTATTTATTTTTCTTTTTTATTATTTTTTAACAATTTCAAATGATGGGTATTTTAACTGGGGTGAAATGAAACATCATTGTGATGTTTATTTGCATTTCCCTGATGGCTAATTAGCCTAATCATTTTTTATGTGTCTCTTGGCCATTTTCTTTGAAAAAATTGCTTGTTCATGTTTTACTCATTTTTAACTGATTTGCTTGTATTATTATTATTATTGACTTTCTTGAGCCTTTTTATAGATCATGGATATTAATTCTGTGTCAGTTGCAGTTTTTACAATTTTCTCCCTTTTTGTCTATTGGTTGCTCTTCACTTTGTTGTCAGTTTCCTTTGCAGTACAGTAGCAGCCTCTTAGCTTGATGTAATCCCGTTTGTTTGTTTGCTTTAATTGCTTGCCCTTCTGGGGTCTTTTCCAAGAAGTCTTTGTCTATATCTCTGTCTTGCACTTTCTCTGGATTTTTTTCCTAACACTTTGATGGTGTAAGGCTGTAGATTTACATCATTGACTCATTTAGAGTTGATTTTGTACAAGGACTAAGGTGATGAAAGTTTTATTTCAAACTCCTGCACGTGTAGATCCAGTTTTCCCAGCCCCATTTGTTGAAGAGACTGTCCTTTCTGCCTGGATCGATTGCAGCTTGCTTTTCAAGTATTAGTTGTCCGTACACATGTGGATTAATTTTTGGGATTTCTGTTCTGTTGTTAACTTGAGGTAAGAATCGTTTTTTAGAATACCAAATAGCATCAACTATGAGAGAAATATTGATGAATTTAAGTTTATGAAGTTTCTGCTCCCCACAAAGTCAGTATTATTTTCCTGTGGGACCAGGGCAATACACTGAACTCAGTGAGTTCTCGTGAGCTCAGCACATGCACAGTTCACTGTTGTCCCCTGCAGTCCTAAAGCTTTTGCCACACTGTACAAAATGGCACCTGACTTGATCTGCTAGCCGTCAAGTGTGAGAGCTACCCAGACCTGTCTTGGGTGGAGCCTGTAGAATGCCATGTTAATGCCGTCACTGAGTCAGAAAAGAGTTCCCAGCTCATCGTATGCTCAGTGCTTTCCCTTACTTTGCCTCCTTATGCAATATGACACCCAGTTTGGCTCTAGGGGGGCTTACTGGGCTGTCAAATCCACCCTGTTCTTGCACTGCCCATGTGGGATCTGCCGCTCTCTCTACTCCTGGTCAAATCAGACCAGCAGGACGGACAGTTCTTTGTTTGGGTTCACCTCCCAAGCTCCCAGTCAAAGTCCCTTTCCACCTGGTTGCTGGTGGAGTTCTGGCTGCTGGTGGAGTTCAGATCGCTGGTAGCTGAATGCTTCTTGAGTATCAGTCACTGCAACACCACACCGTTGTTTTCGCCGCTTTCCTGTGTGTCAGTATCCAGGTACCCCTCTGCTGTTGTTCTTTCCTCTCCTATTTTCTGGAATGTGTCCTCTCTGCTTCACATTGGCTAAAGTTTCTCCATCTGTTTAAATGTGTCCTTA